CCCATGCGAGGGTGCCCGGGGCGGCGGGGTGTGCGAGGTACAGAGTCACTCTGGGTTTAGGTAAGTTATTAGCCCAGGCCTAAAAATTCTGAGTGTCTCTTTAGGTTCGGATTAATTTTGTGCCGGAGTTTCTGGACTGCTAACATACAGGACTGATGTGAAGTTTCTAGGACTTTGTACTGGAACTGAAGCAAAATTATCCTTGTTATGAATGCCTTTTTTTTTTTTAGTTATTAATTAAAATAAAAATAATTTAATAAGCAATACTGGAATTTTACAGATGTTGTATATATATATGCATTATATATATGTGTGTATGCCTATGCCCATTTAGCATCCTTACCTGTAGGCAGGGGAAGCTAATGTTTCTGTCTCCACTTATTTCCCTGGAGCACTCGGCTGAGGATGAAGAGGAGTCGTCTTTGATAGTTTTTTATACTTAGATAACACTAGTCATCTCATACCTGGAAATTTCACTGTAGACAGGAGGGAAATGGAAGGAATAAGTGTGAAGACACATGTCGCACTGAAGAAAAAAAGGACTGCAAATAGAAACAACAGTAAGATTGCAAAGCAAATACCTCAGGAGCCCAAGTAAAATTTGCCCTGATGGTCAACGTATCTTGGTGCCTGGTAGTAAACAGCTTGAGCTGTGTCTCTCTTAATTTATGGATTATTACTACTTACGTAAGCACACTTTGCCAAAGCCGTGGAACAGCTTCTCCCCCACTTTTCCCTGTCACCTGTCTCAGGATGGCAGAAGCATTTCCTACCCCACAGAACAGGCTGCAGTTCTGTCTCACATGTCAGAAAAGAAGAAACTTGAACCATACAATAGAAAATAGGTCAACAGGCTAATAACTTCCTACTATGACAGCCTAAATTCCACCCACGGGTTGCTTGCTATGAACTAGCGCAGGCCTTCAGATGTACCTTGCCTGTACAGACTGGTAGCCTCAAGGACATAAGTCAAGTTTAGGCTGTCAGAATATGGCCAGGAATGTTCTTTCCCACCTGGAGAATCAGCCTGCACATCCTTTTTAATGCTTCAGGTGTTTTTTTACCATACCATTTCGCAGGTCTTCCTCTTGCTCCTGTCCATCTGTGCCTCTGCCAAGAAAGCAGCCTGCTGCAGGTTTGGTTGTGTCTCCAAGCTCTGATACGTGACACCTGAGGATATGCTGTCTGCACACCTATGTACTCCAGGTCCCTGTGCGAATCACTGTCTCGTCTGCCCTGGACAAGGTAAAACTTGGGCACATGGGCATCTGTGACCAATTGGTCCCTTCATTCCTATTATTGAGAATGAAGAGTCTTACATCTGAGTATTGTACTTAAACCTCACGCCTACACCCACACGAATGAAACTGGAGTTTTGTTACTACATCTGTGTTGCTAAATAGGTTGGGGACAGGGAGCAAGGTTTAATGCTGGACCACTGATTCTCTGTAATGCTAAATTGCTAGCAAGCTTTTTGGCATACTTCTGGCCAAGGCCAGCTAGCATCTCCACAGCAATGTCGAGGCACCAGGAGAACACCTAGCTACCTAGCACACACCAAGGACTGCTTCCAATAAGAAGTTAGATTTGGGTCTCTTCCTCCTGTGCAGTCTTCCAACACTATCCGAACAGGCTCTACAGCCTCAAAGCCCTTCTCCTTGTCCTTCTGCCGTATGCCAAGGCATGTAACACATCTGCCAGTTTCATACTATACAAACAACAGTTTTAAGGGCCACAACAGAACTTTTGTGTTATATCAGATATTTTGAAATAAAAAAGACGCAGAAAATGTTATATTACAGCCATAGTGCAGTACATACTGCCTCGAGGAGACCCACAGCACAAGCACCATGTAGGGTAGATGTGACCAGTCTAGCCACTTGATCTCAGGGCAACAAAACAGTCCCCAGCCCTGCTCTGTTTTATGGTATAGACAGGGCCTATGTGGCTTACACTCAGGGCTGGTGAGGAGGAATCAGATGCATTTTTACTCTGTGTGCCTTCAAGTGAGGCAGGGCCTCCCATAACCCTGATATGGCAGATGAAATGACTTTGGCGAAAAGCAGCTGATGCAAGTTCACGCAGGCTGTCATAACCCAAAAATGAACAAGCAGTTTCTTCAGGGGGGACTGTTTTCTGCCTAGACAGACCACGTTTCTTAAATACCGAAGGAAGAGCAGAGACAACAGAAGTCAGGAGGGAGGGCAGCATGGGAAGAGTGGGCTGTTTGTCCTCCCTCCCACGGAGCCAGTTAGGCCTCTGCACGCAGCTGTGACAGTTTCTGACCACTGTCAATATGTCAATTCTGCTTCTCAAAATCACAAGCCTGGTTTGAGTTTGTGTACACACCTCCCAGGCATGTAACTGTGGGCAATTCTCCATTGGTATTGACAGCTGGTACACTCAACAGCAACACACAGGGATTAGCCAACACATTTCCCTTCCCACCAGCCCCCTGCGGCAGTGTCATATTGGACATCACTGTAATGGAAAGGTTAAAAGAAACCTTGTTGAAAAGAGATGAGAAAGGATTGACTTTATGTTTAGACAGTGCCCAGGGCTGCAGTGGGATGGGTTTGGGGGGATGGAGTGCAGAAAGAGTGGTTGAAACTGCATCTCCACTTCCTCTTGTTGGCAGAACAGTGTGAGGCTACTGGCTTGGTGGTGGCATTTGACCTTGCTTTTCCTTGTCTGGTTGGGAGACACCCCCCCAAGTTTGGAGCATCTGTACATGGAATATGAAGAGGATGATGATATTTCCTTTGCAAAATGGATGAGCAGCTTCTGGGGCCACAACTTGATCGATGAGAGTGAGAAAGAGGGTAGAGGCCACAAGAAACGTCAGACACGACCCTTTAGTGAAAGGAGAGCCTCCCTTCCGGTAAGAGCTGTGTGCAGTTTTCTCTGTGTATGTGGTTTATTTGTAAATGTAAGTGCCATTCCCAGCGGCATGGCCCTAGAGATGTATGAGGATGAGTATGGTAAACATTGCCAAGTAAGTTCAGTTCCTACTGGCAGCAGCTAGCTCCTTTTTGAACTTAGCTGCCTGCCAGGCTCAGGCCTCCAGTGCCTTTGGAATACAAGAAAACTGGCAAACTCCAAGATAAGTGATGATAGGACCAGAAATGTAAGCAGAAGGGTGTAATAACTGTCATAGCATTACGATGTTGTTCTGTCTGCTCAGCATTACCTGGCAGAGATCAAAACATTTTGGCAACTGGCATACATAAACATTATCTTTAATGAGTCTGTTCTCATGTGTAAAACTACATAACCCTGTTTGTATTTATAGGGTTTGGACCCAATTCTGCAACTATACTGTCTCCAGGAGGCTGTACGCTTTACTCCCTGGGATTTAGTTGTTTGCAGGTGTAAATTCTAATTAAAGCTAGAGGATGCGGTCCCTCCTGGTTTAAAACATCTGACTGAAAATAAGGATGCAACACATAACACAGCTTATTATACCATGAAGTAAGATTTTAAGGTAGAAGTACGTTCTTTATTCTTAAATGAACAAAATAGTTGGGAAAGGCGCCAGGTTCACACACAGAAGCAGGTTTTCAAGGCAGCTCACAACTGTCTAACCAATTACCAAAATGAAGTCAAACTGAAAACAGCTGTTCACAGTCTGCTCTTTACTTGAGGACTGTTGCTTTTATTTCAGCTCTAAAAAAAATGTTTAGGTGGTCCAAACGTGTCTCTTTTTTTCCAACTACATCACTTGGCTTACCAAAGACACTATGTTTCCTTACAAACCATTTTTCACTTATATCCTTAGATCATCATTGCTGAAACAAAGCAAATGCTATTCTATTGGGGAGAAACAACTAATCTTTTCCAACCTTTTTTTTCTGCCATGCTCTATTTTCTCCTTGCAAGTTCTCCTCCACTGGAGCTGCCATGTCCTAAACTGTGGGATTTTTGTTTTCAAAAAATTTGGCTAAGAAAAAACAAACAGACCAAAACCGCCTCCCCCCTCTTTGAAGTCATGGACGGGCTGGAGAGATAACCTTCATTCATTAGTTTTGAATTGATCAGCCACATTTGTTATTTACAGTTATATTCACCTTGGTCACAGATTGCAAGACAGATTCTGAGCTAGAGCTTTTCTGATGGATTCCATCAGAATGCCTGGAAACAGAATGTTTATTAATGTTTTGGTTTTTAAATTAATTTTACTGTATTTTAATTTTGTCCTTCAGAGATCTATGCATATGTGATTTCTTTAGGCCCCAATACAGACTGAAGTGTAAGAATGTACTTTAAATCACTTTCCATTCAGCAAGCTGCTGAACACATCTTCGTGTATATTTGTGTGTGTACACATACATGTAATTCGAAGCATGTTCTCATATTCAGTTTGTTCAAAAGCTATTTAAATACTTAGGTAATAGCTATTCAAATATTTTGTTATAGTTGCATCCCTGAATCCATACCTAGAACTTGGATTAAGTTAGCTGACAGTAAGTGAGGACTGTGACTTTTGACATTACTGTTCAATGAGCTAAAGTTATCCTGTACACTTAGTTATGTCTGGCCTTTACATTAATGTTCCACACAGATTTGTCTTGCTTCAGTAGTATTCTACAAGAGATACAAATTTCAACTGCTTTATTTCTCAGTGCCAGACATTGTCTGGAGGAATAAGAAGGGAAGATTTTGGGGGCATTTTATGATTCAGGGGAAAATTTTGAGATTAAATGTTTTTATTTGGAAACTTCTGACTAGTTGGTAGTAAAGAGCACTAAAACGTGTTCTCTTAAACCATATCTAGAAGTTAAACAAATGAGCACTAATAATTCCTTCAAAATACCTTTAGAAAGAGCATCTCCTTGTTGAGAGCAACAACTTGCTATTGCACCTGGGTGTGTGTATTTTGCACAGTTATTACAAATTATAACTACTGTAAGATTCATTATTACAAATGACAACTGCTGTAAAATTCAAAGCACTTATCAGTATTAGTTAAATATTGTCTTCATTTTATCAGAACAGTGCTATTAATCAGGAGGAATAACAACCGAGATTAAACTGCATCTCTGCTCTAAGTTAATACCTCCACAGCAGATCAGAGTGAACCCTTTCTTCTGTCTCAGCATCGTAAACAGAGATAACTCTGCTGTCTGGGTGAAAATCAAGTCAGCAGGTTCTGACACAGCTGTTGGCAAAAGTTCCTTGTGCAGATACAATGGTACTGCCAAAACAGCACTGCCCGCACACTTTGACTCATATCCAGGGCTGATACACAGTGCATCAGCAATAGTGCAGCCCTGCCTGCATGAACTCCACCTGCACCAGAACCGTTTTGGTATTTTTGGTATTACATAGCAAAATAGTAGCAGTAGAGCACAAAAGGTGGTTTTGCATAATGCTGGAAATTGCTTTCAGCTCCAAGTTGGTATGTTGGTCTTTGTAGTTTTTCCCGTGCTGTAGAAAGACATTCAAGCCACTGCTTTCACCTCAAACACAATGGTAAACTCCACTGCCGTTCTATCATGGTAGAGTCCCCCCAAATATAGATAAACCTTTGTAGAATAACTCCCAAACTAACAACAGTTTTCATTATTTCTTTTTTCCCAATATCTCACTATACCTCATAAACACTACTGAGATTAGCTTTGCAAAATGCTTTTGCTATTGTCATTCCCATTTTGCGGAGAGGAACACAAAATTATATTCATCCGTCACTGGGTCACTGGCAAGACAGCTAAAACTTGCAACTCCACGCCCCTGAAAAGCGTTAGAGTTGTGTATGTTGCTGTGGGCCAACACTGAATGTGAAAATTGTCTGAGGAGAACTGAGTCATCTGTTTCCATCTCTTTTAGTTAGCTTGCTCCCCTGGCAAACTTTAGATACATTAACTGGGATACCCTTTTTGAAGCCTTCAGCTCTGACTTTCCTTAACACATTCTAGTTATCTATCTCCATCATTTTGGTTCAGGACAGTTTCTTACCTCCCAGACATTTTGTTGTGGGAAAAAGATAGGAGGCAAAGGAGCACTGATAAAAGTTTTACAACCCTATAAATGTATCCACCTTCAAGTAGACATAGCTGCTCACAGGAGAAAATCTGATAAGAAACAGCTGAGAGTGGGAGCAGAGCAACTGACTGCTGTTGAAGTTATTAACATTTAATTTAAACTAAAGTCAGACTGAACATCTACCACAATATTGTTACTACAGATCAGTTGGAGCCTAGGCCAAAACATTTTTAAGGAATATATACTTGGCTATAAGCTCCTGGGAAGGAAAAGAAGCTGTAGGGCAGCATCTGAATGTCAGATGTTCCAAAATATCCCTAAAGTGCTGGGGTCATTGTATAAACTTCAGCAAACAATGAACACTTGTGCTGACACACTGAAGATTAATTTTCTTACTGACAGCTGTGCAAGCCCTCAGGTCAAGCCCAAAAGATGGAAGCAATTATCTTGTCTCCAACAGAAATTGAGAAAGAGAATAGGCAAATTATATTGACATCAATTTTGTGAAGTATTTTTGGTTTTGTGTTTTTTGTATGTTTTAGGTGGGCAATTAGCAAAAGATTAGCTGTTGTGTAAACAGGTACACTGAGCATGACTGGCCCTTACACAAAGGCTCAAGCAGAAAAAGGGAGTATGAAAGGGAGTGAGAAACAACCCCTGAGAATATGCTTGGTGCTTCTGGCTTTCCCAGCGCTGGCAAAAATTCCCCATTTTGGTATAGGGGAGCATTTATCATTCTTCCTTTCCATGCCTTTTCCCTTGTTTAAGCTCCTTCCCACTTCTCCAGTTTAAGAACTACTCAAGCTCAGACTGTAGGAGCCAGAAACCAAGGGGAGTTCACTAAAGAGGCACCAGATGTAGGCACGAGGCGCTGCTGCGGCAAGGACAGGAGCAGACAGTGGGGCTGCGCTCAGAGACCTTTGGCAGGGGACAGCGGCAGCGGTGGGTGGAAGCCAGAGTGTGCAGATACAGAGGCAATCTCTCTTGCCAGCCCCTGTTGAGACTTCAGGAGGGGAAGCATAAATTAAAGCAGTCTTCAGCCATTCTAATTTATAATGTTACCAAGCAATCAATTTGGCACCGAACGTGTATTAAATGCACATGTTAAATCTAAGAAACAGGAATAAAGCCATGTGAATTTTATCTAAAGTTGGTGCCAGATCTGCTTCATCCCTGAGCTTCATTTTATGACTCTTTCAGTTCTCCATGGAGTCAATCTTCAATAAAAGACTAATGTACTGTGCTAGTTACAAGCCATGCAACGTTCATGCCTGGGCAATTGTGTTAAGACTCTTGTCCTCTGTAGGGTTGTGTCCATAAGACAGCAACATGCAGACATGCACGAGCATGCTGACCTCCTAGCTACGGTGGTATGTATCACGCAAAGGCACTGTGAGAGGAGACACAGTCACAGGAATATGATTGCACAGATCTGTGTATGTAGCTTTACTCTTAGTCCACTGAGACAGACACACATTTCAGAGAAAGGTCTGTCCCTTTTCTGGACTATTGCTGCCATGTCAGTATGCGAACTGCAGTCTTTTTGTTAAGGGCTTAACTATAATTCTATCTGTGAGGAGAAATTAAAAAGCAATGTCTTAGTAAAATAAAACGTTTACAAATATTGCAAAACAGGATTGATAGAATACCATCCCTCGTTTCAGCTGTCCTCCTGGTTTTTTTTTCCCAAACCCTCTAACAAATACCAGTGATTTTTAGTGTGAGACAATTTTTATTTCCAGGAAACAAGATATGCTGATGCCATTAAAATGACACAGAAGACATTTAGCTCATTGAGCTTGACACAACATGTATTCCTGTCCCTCAAGCACAATGTGATTGCTTTGATGCTTTTTAAAATAACAATACAATATGACCTTACAGAAATTACAGCTGTATTGATTGGTTTGAAACAAAAGTAAAAATAGTATGGCAGAAATCATTACCACTGCTCTCAGAGGCAGTCCATAATACTGGTTACTGAAGTAAGCTTATGTCTGGAAAAGAAGTTGAACTAGTACCATATGATCTGAAAAACACTTCAGTATTAGGTGCCTCTGTCAGATGTAAGAGTTATTATTTTTAGCGCCTCTCATCAAGCCTGTCTAATGTGATGTTGTCACAACCACATGGATGCACAACCTCACTATTCAGAGAAAGGCTGTAGAGGTCCCTGTTGTGCTGATATATTTATAACAGCAAGTGGGCCTGAGTAAATGGAAATGTATACAAGAGATGTTTCGGGTCCCTTGCTGTCCATGGTTTGTAGATTCATGAGGCCACTATGCCAAGTTGGTTTAGCTTTCCACTGTTGTTTGTCAAAAAACCAAAACAAACACACCCACCCCCAAGAAACCCTACTCTGAGTGTAGGGCTTTCTCCTGGATTTTCTTAGAAAGCATTTCAGGATCTGTGGGATAGACCTTCAGTTGTTATAAACAGTCACAGCTCCCCTGAAACCAGCAGAGCTTCTCAGGGTTACCCAGTAGCTGAAGGCTTAGCACCAGGCTTGTACAAAACGTATATGCATTCGAACACGTATGCAGCAGCTGGGTTCCTGGAGTGCCCTAACCCAACACCTATGCAGGGGGGTGTCTCATTTTCAGTACATCCCACCTCTCTCACACAATTTTCACTACCTGCATCTTACCGCTGTTCAACTACTCACCCTGAAAAAGGACCAACAGCTGGCAGGGTTTGGAGCATGCCTGGCTCTATGTGGTGGCCTTCTCACCCATCTCTTCTACAGCTCTGTCTGTTTCTAAAACCACCAATACATGACTCCACAGGACACAGCAATCCTGTATCAGTTTAATTTCCTTTACAGACATTCAATTAAACACAGCTGATGCAGATCAATAGCTTTTATCTGCATGTCAGGCCTGGGAAAATTAAACCACATGGTAACTAAACAGCTAACTACTCCCTCCCCACTTTAGCCCTACAAATGTAATTGTAGGAAGTCTGTTTCCTACCATTTTTCTGGTAGGGATGTGTTCCTCAGTGCCCTGAAAGTGTTCCCATATCAGTTCAGGACAAACGTGTCCAAAAAAACCAGCAGAAAATTCAAACCTGGACAATAGAGCATCTATTGTCCTACATCTGCATGTAGGCCATGCTGAAAATTTGACACAACAGGGCTAGAAATGGTTGGTGTCACATTCAAATGGACTCAAACATCTGATAAGACTTGGAACACCTGTGAGTCAAACCCCGTATCTGGCTCATCTGGCCACAAAAGGCTGGGTCTTTGCTTTTTGAGAGTCCTGCCTTAGAACCTGTTGCCAGATGTGAGGCCTGAGTTTTTGAGGTTTTGGTCCGTGGGCACTAAGAGGACCCAGCACATGTTTTACATTTGAAATGCTCATTTGAGTGCCAAAACTTAGATACACAAAACCAGAAATGAAAGCAAATTCTGCTGCTGCCTCTGGAAAGCAACTTCTTGGCAGTGTGATTTTCCTGCACATAAAAGGAAAGCTACAGGAGTCTGGGCAAGTCCGTCATTCTGCACCGTTGTTCAGAGAGCACTCTGTGGCAGAAAGAATCTGCCCTGTGTGCTCTGCTTTAATATTCAATACTCAACAAAGACCTCTTGTTTTTCAGGCCACACTTTCCTCCCTCCATACAACACGACTTCATGCTTCTACCAAAGGCTCATCTTCAGGCCATCTCAAGGGCTCCAAGGAATTTCAAGAAGACCAAGATGTCAGATGCCACTGCCACAGGAAGGCAAGCAGAACACCTTCAGGAGACAGCTCGTGCCCAGAGACAAGATCAAACTCCATCCAGGAATTTGCAGAGTCCTTTGAAAAGCAATTGCATCTCAAAAGCAAACGCTCAGTTTCTTTGGTAGGTAACAACCAACTTAAGATCACTTCAGAAGAAAAAAACCCAACCAATGAATGTGCAGGCCAGATTTATCTCTGGTGTAATGGCTGTGGCTTTGCTGGGGAAAGAGCAGAAATAACTTGAATTAGAGTTTCTCAAATTATGTGGTCCTTACAGTGGTGCGAACAAGGTTAAAGTGGTGGTATCATTAGTGCAAACAAGGTTAAAGTGGTGGTATCATCAGTATGAGAATTCTTGATGTAGTGTTACCATCTAGACTTATTTAAAAATGTGTAGCTTCAAAATGAGACACTGCACTGCCTGTAGCAATGTTTTCAGAGGTTTCTACGGCTGTGCCAACAAAATGTGACAATATAAAACCAAGTTTTCTTCACTTCTGCTGTAAGGCCCAGCTCTCTTTCTCACTGCTACTGACCTGGCTTAACATATACGATGTTATCTGTAAGACTGCCAGATGCCATGGTGTTTGAGAGGCTTCTCTTTTACCCTTTGGGACTCCATCCATCTGCTTTCTTCAGTGTCACCACACAGCTGCAGCAGCAGCCATTGCTATAAGTGGCTGAACATGTTTTCACCATAAAGGCACGCAGCCAGCAGAGGATTCTCCCCCCATTTCATCCTTCTCTTCTCCCCATCATTCCGTCCTGAGGCATGAGCATTTTCTGTGTGGTTTGTGTTGATGAAGTTGCCAATAACAACCTTTTGTCTATGACACTTTAACGCATTTTTTATTATTATGATACATAATATCTGGTGTATGATACAATGGAAGGAAGGATAGTAAACCCTAACTTGCTTTTAAGTATTAGAAGTATTATCAAATTCAGCCACCCTATTCAAAAAGCTGTGCTTGAATAACACTTGACATTAGCACCAAATATCAACAGAAGGAAGTATCTTTTTTTCTTCAGTTTGTTGACAGTTTGTATGGAGAAGTAATCTTCAGCTCTCTTTGCAGACCTTCTGTGCAGCAACAAGAGACAAAAAAAATCTCGTTTCAATAAGCAGCATCATTACATGATCAGTCCCACAATTGCAGTCCTTGCATGACCAGTCCTCTAAGAATACCCAGAATTATGGTGATGACAACTCTGTTAAGCCATTGCTAAGATTTTAAGTGCATTCTCTAATCTTTTTTCCCCTTTAGGAACTATTCAGAATTTATTTCATTTGGAACTTCACATTGCCTCATGTGCCAACCCTCACCAGTGGTTGTCTGGTTTATCATTTATCATTTCTCAAAAGTGCCTATGGCTAGAAAGTCTGTGAGTGTGTAATTGTACGATAGGTACACTGGGCATAATGCACTAAATACGGCTTCAGTTACAGTTAAAAACATGGATTCTAGTACCCATCTGTAATCTGCAGTGAGGTGTGCTGGTCTGTATTTTAATCTACCTTTCAAGTAGACCAAATTGTTGTCATTCACTCAGTCACCATTGAAGTCTGGGAGATGTGAAGGACTTGAGAATCTTGAAGAACTGAGCAATAGATGTTAGAGATCTGAAAGGAAATTTCGGAGTGGGCTTAAACATGTATCTCCAAATGGAGCATTTTTTTGCATTCAGAGCTGTGTGGGTGCAATTCGAACCACCATGACGACACAGGTTAAAAGAAAAGAAAAGTGGGGGAAATGTAGTCCCATTTCATCTCCTGCCCTGTGTATTGCTTTTCTCTTACAAACATGGCTTTGAGGACATTTCATGACCTTCAGCATTTGTTTTCAGTGAGGTCTTTGCAGCTAGCGCTGAACAGCCTTCAGTCATGTAAAGATGGATCATGTGAAAGGACAAAAACCTGGAGTCTGGGCTGAAATGTCAGAGTCTCTCCCTTTTTCCCTCCTGTCTGCAGTCTCCCTCAAGTCCTCCAGGCAGGTGACCCTCCTACCATACATAGAGTATAATCAAAAGCTTGTTGCCACTTGCTGAGTTTTAGGGTGACTGGCTGGGGCCTTAAGTTTGAGCCCGTCATGTTAAAGCTGATCTTGCTGAGGTAGATGACTAGAATATTTTATTATACATTACTAGTGAAATAAAATAATGAGATTTTTTTTGTTCACATGGGAGTTGTTTTTAATTCCCTACTATTTTTTTCCTGCCTTTTAGCAACCTGAAGGCATGAAGGAGAGAAGAGAAAGAGAAAGATTGCATTTGAGAAAAAGCAAGTCTCACAAGAGAATGGGAGAGAAATCAGAGCCAAGGAGAGAGCAGGAAGAAGATGAAGGTTCAGAAGTTGTACCTGCAAAACACAACGAACAGTTTCCATCACAAGCAAGCATTGAGAAAGGATATTTATGCACAGGCAGCTAGAATGCATTGAGATAATGAATTTTAACACTCCCCCTGAAGAGCAGAGGGAGCATTCTTGTTGTGTTTTGACTAGAAGAGGCCTGTAAGATAGAATAAACCCTAACCTGTAAAATAAAAGTAAAATTCAATTGCATCATTGTCACCACGTTATTCCCTTCCTGTCTTTACTTTTGCCATTAGGAATGTGACCCTTGTCATAGGAGGAGTGTATCTATAGCAAGATCCAAGTTGGCAATTAACCATCGTACGAGGGTTTCAGGCAAATTCAGCATTGTGGCAGGACAGCAGTAGATGTGTTCATTTAAGAGGAGAGCATATATGTACTACAGAGCCTTGCAAAGTCATTCAAAGCCTCATGTTTCTGTTTTAATTGAAAACAGACTTATTGGTAGGTTTGGGAAGCAAAAAGTACACATAAACGGCCACCTGCTTCCTGGCTCTGACATTCACTTAGTTTTGTCTTGGAAACAGGTATCCTTTTGCTTTGATATTCTCCTGACTCCAAATTTACAGAAATAATAGAAGAGAAGCCCACAGGTTCTTCTATACACCTCCCTGATGTCTCACTCCTCTCTGGTTTTCCTATCACTGTGCAATATGACTCTCATTTCTCTGGCATCCCCCAGCCCTCTCCCATGTCCTCAGTCCCATTTCACCAGTCACACAACTAGCTCTTTCTCCCAACTTCAACCTCATCACCTTGCTTCTTTTGTGGCCTTCCCCATCTCCATTTACTGCTTTATAGCCCTGCCTCATAGCTACCAACCTCTTTTGCTACATCTCTAGATTTGCTTCATCAAAATTTGAGCCTTGCTGAAAGCTCTCCAGTGAAAACAGAGATGTTCTGCCTCTTGTAGTTCTATAGAATCTCTTCAAGGGGTTGCCACACACTTTTTCCCCTTTTCCCTTTCTAGAGTTAGGGCCAAACCAAGGGAATGGGAACTAGCTCTGTCTATGGTAAGCAGGACTTAGGAAAATTCTGTTTCCTCTGGCTGAAGATCTCCTAAACTCAGGTGTAAATCTCACCAACTGTAAGTAAGATTTCCTTCTATGCAGAGGAAATCCACCTCCACATGCTCATAAAACACATACACACCCCCACAACCCCCCATGCCCCCTTTCTTCAACATGTAAGTCTCCCCTGCAGAGAAGAACCCTGACCTCTTTGGGAATAATTTCCCCAGGCCTAGTACAGAGAAAGCCTGCTTTGGATAATACAGTTAGAGAAGAGTGAAGACGAACAAAGTGATGAGCAAAAGGCAAAGTCTGCTGGGTATTCTTCCTGTGATTTTCTGTAATTAACAAAGACCTTATTAATTTACTTTAGAGCCCTAATTTTGAATGTTCAACCTTTTAAAAGCTTAGGGCATCCTTAAAACTTTGTAACACTTATCTCCATTAAAGGATTGGGTTTGCTTTTAAGGAGAACTTTAGGGGATACATAAGGAAGCAATCGAACCCTTGCTGATACTTGTAAGTTGCTTCTTGCCTGGTAACATATATTATAAACTAATAAATCTGACTGAAAATTGTTTCTCCTATGCATAGTTCCTGTCCTCCCCAATCCAGATTGAATTTTCATGAAGTTCTTCTGTCAGCCAAAACTTCCATGCAGGTGGCTTTCCTTTTACAGCCTTAATTTGAAGACTGCATTACAACAGACCTGGAGAGAAAGGAACATGGCCAGCTATGCCTGCGTTCTTCAGATAAAACCTCTCACATACATCCTTTCATGTAGCAGCCTGCCCTCACATCTCGTGAGAGTTGAATGCCATGGCTGCACCAGCTTTGCCCGGATTTCAGAGCATCAGCCTCCTCCTCTTGTTTTCCAGCCAGGTTAACTCAACGGGCCCAGCTGTATCCCAGCAGAATTTGCGAAAACACTTGTATTCCTGAGACTAATGTGCTGGTTGTACACCACACCTGATGAAAAGAAAACACCAAGAAGAGCTAAAATAGAAAACCCATGTGTGCCTGGCTCCAACTTGCTTGTTTAGCATCTCCATCAAAGCACAGGCAAGCCTCACTGCCGCCAAGGCAGCCTAGCAGGTCTGCCTGCAAACCGCTCCCGTGTTTATCACCAAACCCCACCTCTCAAATGGGAGAGTCCCTAAGGGTTTATGTCCTTTCTGAACTGGTCCATCAGCCACGTGGTGTGACTTTGGAAACAGCAGCTTTCAAATAACATCCTCAACACTGTCCTTAAATTGCTAAAAAACGTTTACTGAAAAGTGTTTTCTCCTGCTTCATATGATGCCTGATTGCACCAACAGCCCTTTGCAGTCTAGTCCTATGTAGTCAAATACAATAGCATTACTTAGAAAGACTGAAACTTGCGTGATAGAATGAAATCATTCTCCGCAGAAATTAACAACTATTCCATAACTAATCAGCATTTGGGAAGGAAGGTAATCATCCAAAGAGGATTCCGATTGCAATGGCATGGCTGATATTTCCACAGAAAGTGGAATTGGGATATACAAGTAGTCAGAAAGACTCCAGAGGGTTTTCATTTTTGCCGTAGGTCACTAGTTCAGCCGTGACTGACATAACAAACAGTCACCGCCTTGATTCCCACCCCCAGTTCCCAGGGCGGCGGGGCTGGCCGTGGGCGTTCTCCAGGCAAACACTCTTTGCTTGTTCTGCTCTTTCCAAGAGTGGGTTGGCTACAAGTTGCATCAGAGTCCAAACCTTGGACACAAAGGAGGTCAGTTAGTGGGAAACAAAGACAAAAGGACCGAAAATATATTTTCCAAAATGCTCATTAACAGGTAATTTTGAAAACCTGAAACAGTTTTACAAGAGAGGGGAACCAGCAGGCCGACAGTCCCGCTGCGGGCTGGCTGTCGAAAGCTGACGTGACTCAGAGGCCTGTGAAGGACATTTTAAACTTGCTCTGTCTCACAGGTGAGAGACCACACTCTGGTAAAAGACTCATTTCTGTGGATCCTTCCCAGTGCTTCAGGCTAGCTAGAAAGTGCTCCTGTGGGAAGTTAGGGCATGGGTACACAGAAGCGTTTCAAGAGCAAGATCCAGTTATACCCCAGTGTTTTCCGAGAGGGCTAAGAAGAGAACGTCAGGTGTGGTTACCTCGTCTTTTAGATGGGCATTCCCAAAGCAAAATATTTATACTTGAGTGCTTCTGAGGTATTGTTTAATTGCAGCATGGTTTTGAGGATGGATTACATTTTAGGTACGTGTTAACATATGACATATTGGTATATAAAATGCCAGACCCCATAAAGACAAAACAAAGTACTAACTATACTTATGTGCATGCTCGCAACAATCCTTTCTAGGAAAAAAATGGGAAACATTTAAATACATAAATAAACCAAAACAACCACGATGTATAACTGAACAAGAATGCAATATCCATTAAAAAAGAAACCTAATATTAAATATAAAAAAATGAAAATGTTCATCTGTACTTTTTTGTCCTTTAGCACAAAAGAAGGTATTTGGGTAAGCACAGCTCTGCTTCCAAATACATTCAGTGTACATATGAATAGTATCAAATCACACAGAGATATAATAAAACCTCATAACCAAAATTATTCACACAGAAGTGAATCATAATCACGAGATCCTAGGTTTATACAGCCATCTGCCAAAAACATTGAAAACAAACAGGTCTTGAAATATGTCCAGAAGGATATCGCAGCCAAAATCTAGTCATTCAATGAGAGAAGTGAATACTGAAATCCAACAAACTTCATAGATAATGCCATGCCTGCAGTTGTTGTGCCTGAGCTTTAGGTAACTGTGTGTGAACAAATGCTAAAATAAACCCACTCATCATAGAAAATATTGCTTGTAGTGTTGATTTTCATTTAGTCTGTTTTTTAGCTTCGATTGACAGATGATATTCCTCCTATTAGGAGGATCCTTCTGAATCCTAGCCCAGTCTCTACTGCACTTTGGAAAAAGAAAACTTCTCTCCGCTGTGCCTTGTCTCTGAGGCCAGATAGAAAATAGGAGAAAGCGCATCAAAGACTAATATTCCGTTGTATTTGATGCATTCTTGTCATTCTTCCATGTTTGTCAAAATGCTTGAGTTCATGCAATTTCTAAACTGATTGATAGAGTTTTGCTGTATTGAGAAGACCCACCAAAACCTGTGACAGTTACATATGAATTTGCATCAAAAAGCCAGTGGAGTCATTACAGACCTCAGCCTGGCAAGCTAGTCGTATTCCTGATACTGAAGTATCAAAAAGGAGCTCTCATTTTGCTCCAAAGCTTGAGCAGAAGGATTCATGGGCACTGTCCCCCTGGGCTTCCCTGCAACCATATCCCATTATATGAGGTGAATGCTAAGGTTTTGGCCCTTTGGAAAGCGACCCTTCCCGGACCTTTATGCGATGGATCTCAGTTGATATTCTGCTCTTCCTATATGCACAAAATACATCTTAAATGTCTCTCATAAGCATTTTAAATCTAGTGGGTCTACTCCCTGAGGACCTCTATACAGAGAATTTTGGCTGTCAGAAAGCAGCTAGAGTGATTTTAGGTGAGCCTTCCCACAGCTAGCACAAGTTTATGCCTGGGAGAGGGGAATGGTTAGGGCATTCCTTTGTGCTGGTGGTCCCAGCAGCAATAAAACGTCCTCAGGGAGAACGAAGTAACTTTGGGCTTCTCTCACCTGTGCAGGAGTGGCAATCACAGGTCAGCCCAGAATCTGGGATGCAAAAAAAATTTCATAAACTCCTTCTCTGTTGTGCCATGTTCCACTTACCCACAGCTAGAGATGAGGCTCCTTCAGACAACAGATTTTCCATTCCTTTAACACCTTTTGCTTGGAACAAATATAGTCCCACAGTAGCATACTCCAGGTCTCAGCTATATGGTCAACAGAGATCAACCATAATGTTCATCACTGATTTAGGGTACTCATTACAATTTGATTACCTAGTCAAAAGCAATTCTGAGTTGAGGTCATTTAAGACTGACAAAAATTTCCTTTCACTTGAAGGAGAAAGATTTGGATCTGTGTGTTATTCATCATGATCACTTGGGGACTGGCAGCAGCACAGAACTTCACTGCATGCACAGCTTCCACAAAGAGTTATCGTGACAAACTCCCAGGGCCTTATTTTCTGTCACTTGCAAGGTAGAGAGTAGAGGAAGGGGTTTAT